AGCCACAGAATTAAAATTTGATAAAAATTGCTAAGCAGGGAGAAAACTGCTGTTTTCTTCAATTTCATTTTTTTGACGAGCGCCTGATTCCACCACACTGCCTCACATATTTGAAACATTTGGAAAAGTGGACACTGAAATTTTGCCTTCGAAAAGGCAGGAAGAAAGTAACTGAGGTGAAAGAAACCGACCAATTTATAAATAGCCGAGTCACGTATCACTTGTAAGTAAAACTGCATACATTTTTTTTAAGCTTCAAAACCTTCAAATCCATAAAAAGAATTAATACTTTTCGTTGTTTTCTGTCACAAGTTTTTTTAAGACATCAGACATAAAAGTTTTAGTGGCAAATATTTCAATTGGTTTTGAAAGAAACTATCCTGAGACAAAAAATTACTAGTCAGTGTTTTCGCTTTTTAATATTTATGCATGAAAATGACGTAGGCCTACTCTACTTTAATGTCCAATTTTGTATGCAATTGCTCGATTTGAACCAGTATGAATAATTCAGAGGACTTAATTAGCATACATACATTCTACAAAAAGTCAAACTATTAGATTATATGAATGAAAGCTGAGGACTTCCCACGACAGTTCCCTTTTAAGAGTATGTTAAACACAAAAAATCTACAGTGCAGCCTCTCTGTAACGACATCGTCGGGACCAAAAAAATGTCGTTCTAGAGAGTTGTTGTTATAGAGAGGAAACTAAAAGTTAATATATATAAGGAAACCATCAGGACCTGGGCACAGAGGATATCGTTATATCGAAGGTCGTTATAGACAGGCTGCACAGTAGCTATCTTCAACTTAACAAAAAAAACATACCCAGTGCCCACTGAAGACACAAGGAGCTCTTGAGACCTAGAGGTATGGTGTTCGCTTCTCAGTTAAAAGGTCACGTATTCAAAACCTGTCGCCAACGAGAAATTAACTTCTCAAAAATTGTCTCAATTGTCCTCGCCTTTCCTGTTCTCTAGTTCTGTTCTGTCATCTGCTTTCTTCCCCTGTTTTTTAGTTTAGTTTTAGTAGAGGTTTTATGGCGCTCCGAACTGCATAAGGTCATATGAGCGCCAGTCTTTCATCTCCACTTTGTCGTCGGGTCTACCTGACCATAAGGCATCACTTCTCTTACCTGATTCTTCCAGCTGTGGGCTTCAGAGAATAAACGCCACAGAAGTCGGCCGGCACTCGCAGGCTACCTCCGATGTCTGTTCCCAGCCCAACCACGGACCCTCCGCCACCCAAGAGCGCTCCTTCCCCTCCTGAGGAACCTCCGGGAGAGCGGGACACGTCTTGTGGGTTCAACGTTTCCCGATACAAAGGGTTTGAGCAGCAATAGCTGAAAAATACATATGAAAAATACGTATACATATACATGAAAAATACATATATATGAAAAATACATATTTAGAAAAACGCATATTACGCAAAGTACAGTCGAACCTGCTCCAACAGCCACCTGTCTAAGATATTCACCTGTAAGGTTAATTAATAGTGGCAAAGCCAGGCACTGGCTAGAAAAGGTTGACAAGCAGTGGTGCAAAGAGTGCAGACTTTATTTCCCGATTGTACCAACCCAGTCTGTTCACCCTCAATACTCAAATAATAATAATAATTATA